CCGCGGCGGCGTCTCCCGGTTCTCCCCCCATCTGGATCTCGCATCCGCCTTCGCCTCAGTAACTGGCGCCGGGGGCTGCGGAATGATCTCCCCCCGCGCGCGCGGAGAGCTGGATCTGCGCCACTTCCGCCAGCTCCTCGCGGCCGAGGGTTTAGAGAATCAAATTCCTGGGAATCGTATCTGGGACCCTTCAGCAGCGGCGCGAAGGACGCGGCATGAGGGGAACGTTGGCGCGGGAGACGTTAGCAGCAGCTATGAATGCCGCCGCGGTGAAGGCGGCGGCGGCGGCAGAAACGTATCACGTGGCGCGGATGCCGCGCCGCAATTGCCGTGGTCAGAAGCCGGCCCCGCCGCGCGGGGCGCGGATGATCATAATGCCACCGCCGCCGCGCCTTCCACGCCCCGACCCAGCAAGTTGAATATGGCGGACGCGCTGCTTTTCGCGGTCGGCGGAGATTACAATCATCGCGACGCGCATACTAAAGGCCGTGGTGCCGAATCGTGGCCCACGAGAGTCCTGCGCTCCCCCCTACCCTCTCCCATGTCCTTCCCCCCGTCGTTCCCCCTGCCCTCCTCCCTGCCCTCCCCGATCGAGCGTCTTCATCGGCGCCTCCCCTCTCCGCCCCTTTCGCCCGCGGGCGTGCGCCTAGTGCCCTTAAACCCTCCGACGCACCGCGTTCGCGAGGCTCGCGAGGCTCGCGACGATCGTGATGCCGCCCTTTCTCCCCGAGCAGCCGCGCCGTTAGAATCTAGTAGCCCTTTGTGTCACGGGGACGCCGCCGCCGGCGCATCGCGACAAGATCCGCCGACCTGCGCCGCGCACGTGCGACTTCCGCCGCAGTCTAGTTCGGGCGCGGGGACTCAATCCGCGGGCTTGCGCGCGCATAGCAGCGCTCCGCTGCCGCGGGCGCCGCGCGCGGCAGGGGGAGCGGGAGCGGAAACAGTAGCGGAAGCGGGAGTGAAAGGGGTGAGCGGAACTGCAGCCGATTTCCCGCCATCCGCCGCCGGCGCCGCGGAAATAGGTTCTGGGGTGATTGGGATTAAAGTCGAGGGTTTGAAATCTGCTGCTGCGACGGCGTCGGCGGCGGCGGCGGCGGCGGCGGAGGGGAGGTACAAGTGCGACATCTGCGGCGCGCGGTTCCACAAGCCGCAGGCGCTGGGCGGCCACAAGGGCAGCCACCGGCAGGCGCTGGCGCAGCAGTCGCAGGCGCACGCGCAAGCGCTGGCGCAGGCGCAAGCACAGACGCAAGCGCGCGCGCAATCACAGGCGCAGGGGCAAAAAGTCTCCACGTCGTCGCCGCGCCCTGCCACGCCAGGTGTGCGCGCGAGTTGCGCGCGCACAGGCATGGCGGGCGGCGAAGCTGCGCCCCGGCCGCCGCCGCTTGAAGGTTCCGCATCCGCCGCGCTCATGGGCGCAATGGCGGAAGGACGCGCGGCGGGCGGCGCCACCCCCTTCGCAGCGCTGCGGCATGCGATGCTGGCGATGGGGTCGGTCCCAGCACCGTCAGATCTGCATCATCCAACGGCTCATAATCCGCGCCCAACCCACCCTCTCCCGCCCCCGCCAGCATATGATGCGCCACAAATGCCAGGCCTAGGAGGAGCCTCGGGGAGCCTGCTTGACCGAATCGCAGAGTTAGGTACATCCGGAGCATCCGGAGCGGACCAACATCAGCCTTATCTTCTTCCGCACCCGCTACTGATGCTCAGGGACGGCTCCGCTGCTGATGCACACGCGACCCCCAATCCGGATGGGACTCGAGCCTCGCGAGCCGTTGGATTAGATCCGCCAGGTGCCTTGGCCGGCGGTGGCGGCGGTGGCGATGGTAGTGGTGGCGGCAGCGGCGGTGGCAGCGGTGGCGGTAGTGGCGGCTGCGGCACTGGTAGCGGCCAGCTGAGCGGGTTACTGCAATCCGCAGGAAGCAGGGGCGGCGGTGCCTTTCCAGAGTCTGTGCGTTTGGGAGGCACGGCTGCTCGTGCAGCTGACCACCTGCAGTCCTGGGCACATGGCAGCGGCGGCGGCGGCAGCAACAGCTGGAGCCTTTCTGCGTTTTTGGAAGCTTCCGCGTTTGGGTCGGCTGCGGGTGCGAGCGGTGTGGGAGGCACAGGAGGGTTACCGTCTGGGCGCAGCAAATTGCAGCCCGAAACAGGTGGAATTGTGTCGAGGAGTGGCGATGAGAGAGGGGCACAGACAGGGGAGGAGACAGCTAACGTGTCTAGAGCGCTGCAGATAGCCAGTTCTCCTGCTGGGCGGGAAACGACCAAGGACGTGGGAATGCGGGAGCTTGAAGCTCTTCCTGCGTGTTCCCCTGGGGTTTTGAAGGAGTCGTGGGAGAAGCAGCTGCTGACCTTGTTCTTCCAGCAGCAGCAGCAGCAACAGCAACAGCAACAGCAGCAACAGCAACAACCACACCAGCAGCAGCAACCGCAGCAGCAGCAGCAGCAGCAGCAGCAGCAGGGATTGCCCTTGCAGGAGGCAGAGAGATCAGGAGCAGATGAATCGAGCCTGTCGCTTTGGTTCAGGCAGCAGCTGAGTAGAAAGCTTGGGAATGACAGGCTTGGAACTGGTTCGGTGGGCGCTGTGGGGACAGATGGTGCTGGTACTGCTGCTGCTGGGAATGGCGCTGGTGCTGCTGCTGCGGTGGCTGATGCTGGTAATAGTGGCGGTGCTGCTGCTGCAGCTGCTGCTGGTAATAGCGGTGGTGCTGCTGCTGCAGCTGCTGCTGGTAATAGCGGTGGTGCTGCTGCTGCTGGTAATGGCGGTGGTGGTGGTGGTGGTGGTGGTGGTGGTGGTGCTGCTGCTGCTGCTGCTGCTGCTGCTGCTGCTGCTGCTGCTGCTGCTGCTGCTGCTGCTGCTGCTGCTGGTAATGAGCGAGCATCATGGTTATCTGGTTCACAAACAGATGCTATCAAGTGTCCTGAGATGGTTGGAGAAGCAGCAGGAGAAGAGCAGAAGGACATCGGTGCTGGAAGTGATATAGCCGGAATGCAGGGCGGGGCATGGGAGAGGATGGTGGGGGTGGAGAAGGGAGGATTGGGGCGGAAGAAAGGCAGGGAGAGTGAGGAGGGGAGACAGAGGGAGGTTGGGGAAATGAAGCGTGGTCGTGTGGACAGTACTGCTTGCTTGAACCTGTCACTTTCAGGGGTGTGGGACGGTTCCAGTGGCGGACGGAGTGGTGGGGCGGGGAGAAACGGAGAGGACGGAGGGAGCAGAGGGAACGGAGGGGAGGGAGGCGAGGGAGGAGAGGGAGGAGAGGGAGGAGAGGGAGTAGAGACGAGGAGTGCTGTGAGGTCGAGTTCGGTGATGAGGCGGTGGGGTGAGAAGGGCAGAAGGGAGGTGAAACCAGCGGGAGGTGCGTGGGAAGGGCGTGAGGAACGGATTCTTGAAGTGGGTTGGAAAGGAAGGGGAGGTGTGTGGGAAGGGTGCGCGGAACAGAGATTAGAAGTGGGTAGGAAAGGAGGGGGAGGTGGGTGGCGAGGAGAGAAGGGGGGTGAGAAGCGTGGGACAAGAGATGGCTTGGGGACAGATTTGAGGCTTGCAGTCGCTCAGGGAATGGGGTTGGGGAGAATAGGGGAGGAGGACGAGAGGCGGACGGAAGCGAGAATAGTGATTGCAGGGAGGAAAGAGCGGGGGGATTCTTTTGCATCTGTGCTTGCTTTGTCAACAGCAGGAGACTCTGCAGTGGTTTCTGGTCCTGGTTCTCTTCCTTGCAGCATTGCAGCAACGAAAAGCAGCAATCCTGCTACTGCTGCAGCTACGGCAACCACAGCAACAGTGGCTGCAGTAGCTATCACTCCTGCGGCAATTATGGCTGCTGGTGCAGTTATGCCTCCTGGATTGCTTATGGCGACTCCTGCGGTTATGGCAGCGGCTGGAGTGGGGGAAGGAGGGGGGGCAGGTAGTGGTGGTGTGAGGTTGTTCGGAGTCGACATGGTGCTGCCGCACTGATAACGGTAGCTGGCGGGGTTTTGGATGTATTCTGAGTCGACTCTAAATGCAGCTGGATGGAGCAGGGGAAGGAGAGGGGGGCCTGTCAGGGCAGGGAGTGGTGGCGTGAGGCTGTTTGGAGTCAACATGGCGTTGCCACACTGAAAGCTGGCAAAGTTCTGTCTGCTCCTGTTTGACCAGGCAGTCTCTCGCTCTTGGTCGCTGCTGGTCACTGCTGGTCACTGCTGGTCGCTGCTGGTCACTGCTGGTCGTGAGTTCAGAATGGCTATGAAAGGTTTAGGCGACTGCAAGCCCGAGTGTTATGCAGGATTTCATTGCCTGGGCCAGCTGTTGCGCTGCATAGCACAGTGCATGAGAGTACCGGTACACATGTACCGGTGGTAACACTACTATACTGCCAAAACATCTTGCTCAATGTACTGACTGATTGGCTGACTGACAGACAGACGGAAATCAGGCTGACTGACTGGCTGGCTGACAGCGCATGCACGCTGCTCTTCCTTTCAAGGCTTCATGAGTTGTGACATGTTTGCCACACTGAGATTGTGACTAGCCTTTGCTTTAACTTGATCTGCATACAACACGCTTGTACCTACCTACCTACCATGCTCTATGAGGTCCTAACTTTACAACGAACGAATACAGTACAAGGGGTCTCAATGAATGGGTGTAGTGGGAGGGGGAAGAAGGGACGAAGAGAAGGGGGGGGGGGGGGGGGGGGGGAGAGGAGAGGAAAAAAACGTCGCATCCGTGGTGGGAGGGGAAAAATGGCTGGAAGAAACTGCCTGTCACATGCGCTGTGCTGCTGTTATCGCCAGGCCAAACCACAGTGCTTATACCGTACACAATCCTCGTCCCACAATCCGCAAGCCTCAAATCACAATTCACAATCCACCAGCCATGAGCTACAGAAGAATACCGTGCTGCCATTTTGTGCGACTGTCACATGCTTCATTGTATTGGTGTCAAGAGAACTGCTAATGGTGTTCCCTTGGTTGTCATCCCTTTGAATGTTGCACATCCGCGTGCAAGAGATACCTCTCAAACATGGTCACAGGTCTCCTAGGTGCCCGTCGCACAGCCTCTTCTTCTCCTCCTTGAGCGACTTGATCTCCCGCAGAATGCTCTCGTCTGCTGGGGCCCCTCCGGCTATCGTTTCCTCTAGAGTCGCTATGATGCGCTCTATGCTGCGGATCTGAGAGAGAGAGGAAAAGACACACACACACACACACAGAAGAACGAGAGTTCATGGGCAGATGAACGGAGAGATGGAGAGGTGTGGGCAGACAAGTTGCACTTCTGAGTTGCTTCTGAGCGAATGCAACAGCCACACAACAACCTATGTCTATGTGTTCTATATATCCTACGTGTGGGCGATTCCCCTGACAGGTTGGTTGATACTGGTAGTAGCTGTTATGAATGGGTGTCTTGTCCTTACCTTGCGATGCGGCCACCTCCGCATGCCATGGCGCCGGCAAATCTTTTTCAGAACCGTTGGGCAGATGCCCAGCTCCCGGGCAGCCTCGTTGATGGGCAGGTGGAAATGTTTCGCTAGGTCGGGCAGCTGAATGCGGCCTGATTTTTCCCTCTGAAGCAAACGAAGAAAGGTGGGCGGGGGAGGGGAGCAGGTGGTTGAGAAGGAAGGGGTGGTTCAGAGCGGGAGGGTGAAGCAGGGAACGAGGTGAAGGAGCGAGTTTGTGAAGAGCACTTGTGGCAGGCAGACACAAAAAACGGTGGTGCATGAGGATGTGAAGTGACCCCTTACATCAGTGAGGTGATAAGGTTACCTGTTTTTGAGCTGATTCAGGGGTGCCAAGTAGTACAGGTAAAGGGAGTGTGAGGGAAGCTTGAGTGCGAGTACAGAGATGAGTTAGTCAGAGCAAAGGAGGAGATAGTGGGAGGGGAGGGGCGTTGGGGGGAGGAGGACAGCAGGGGGTTTTACCTGAGCAGCAGCGTTACTCTTGGTTGCACCAGCAGCAGCATTGCTGCGAGCACCAGTCGCAGCAGCAGCAGCAGCGGCGGCGGCAGTGGCAGCAACAATAGCAGTGGCAGTTGCAATGGCAGCAGCAGTGGCAGCAGCAGGTGTGAATCCCGAACCAGGCGCAGCAGCAGCAGCAGTGGAAGCAGCAGGAGGGATGGACGAGGCAGGTATGGTAGGAGGAAGAGGAGGCAGAGGGGGACGAGGAGTGGCAGGAGGCAGAGCATTTGGAAATGCAGCTCCCCCCAGGGTTGATCCGTGCATTTCAGCCTTGATAAACTGAGGGTGTAGCTTTACTGCTCCTCCTCCTCCTCCTCCTCCTCCTCCTGCTCCTGCTCCTTCTCTCGCTGCAGCAGAACTAGCACCAGCAGCAATGGTAGAAGCAGCACCAGCGCTAGCTGCACCCACACGTTGCCTCCCTTTCCTCGCACGAGTTACACTGCCTGCACCACCAGATGCAGCAGGTGCTGCAGCAGAAGAAGCTGAAGCACCGCCTGTAGCAGCGGCAGTAGTAGCAGCAGCAGCAGCGCCGCTAGAAACAGCTGCTTTAGTTTCCAGTAGGAGCGATCCTTTAGCAACAGCTGCTTTAGCTCTTCCCAGTCCCTGTGCTCTTGCCTGTGCTCGACCCTCTGCCTGCCCTTGCACACGCCCTTGCACTGCACCCTGTGCTGAAGCTTGCGCTGCTGCTTGTGCTGCCGCTTGTGCTGCCGCTTGTGTCATGCTGTGTGTTGCAGTCAACGGCTGTGCCTGAACCACTGCTGCGGCGTGTGGTGACGCCGTTTGCGCTGCAGTGCGAGTTGCAGTGCGAGTTGCAGTGAGCGATGATGCTGGTCTCTTGTCTTGAGGCCCCATTGGGTGCATCGGAGGAGATGTGAGGTGCGATGACGAGGGGTGAGAGAGATGAGCAGGATGAGACGGCAGTTGTGTCTGCTGCTCGTGCTTCTGTTGCTTCCTCTGCTGCTGCTGGTGCTGCTGGTGCTGCTGGTGCTGCTGGTGCTGGTGCTGCTGCTGCAGCAGCTGGGGGTGTGGTTGTGGGTAAGGGTGTGTATGCGAATGCAGGCCGATAAAGCAGTCAATGTCTAGTGCATCACCGCACACAGCAGCCTGGTACCCCTGCCAATCCCTCTCCATCCCCTCCTCCTCCACCCCTCCCTCCCAACCCTCCTCTACCCCCCTTCGTCTCTCCTCCTCGCCATCAACCGTGCTCAACCCCTCACCACCCAACAAGGCACCAGGAGCAGCAGAAGCAGGCCCAGAAGCAGCAGCAGCAGCAGTAGCTGCGGTGGCACAAGGAGAATCAGGAACTGGGCTATCAGACTGATGAGGGGAATCGGGGCAGCGGTGGTAGTTGGGGTACGTTGGAGGGGAACCGCAGCAGGAGGGGTGCGGGGAGGTACTGGGGCATTCGGAGGGGTGCGGAGGAGCGGGGGAGTGGGAGAAGAAGGGGTGGAGGCGGGAGAGGTGCAGCGAGGGGCTGAAGGAGTGGTGGCAGAGCACAAATCCATCCCCATGCCTCTGCTCATCGTAGTGCAGTAGTAGATGCGCTATGAACGCCGGTGAGTCGTCTGGTAGACTGGGAGGGGTTGGGAGCGGGTTGGGGTTGGGCAGGTTGGGAGGGATTGGGAAGGGTGGTGTAGGAAAGCGTGAGTGGAAAGGAGGGGCTGAAGGAGTGGTGGCAGAGCACAAAGCCGTCCCCATGGCGCTGCTCATCGTAGTGGAGCAGCAGGTGTGCTATGAACGCCGGGGAGTCGTCTGGTAGACTGGGAGGGATGGGAAGCGGTGGAGAGGGGTTGGGGAGGGGTGGGGAGGGGTGGTGCAGGGTGGGAGGGGTTGGGAAGGGAGAGGGTGGGGAAGCGTGAGTGGAAAGGGGGGGCTAAAGGAGTGGTGGCAGAGCACGAAGTAGAACACGGAGGGAAGGGAGAGCCTGTGGAAAGTAGTCGAATATGGAGTGGGGTAAGAGGCAATTTCTGTATTGAATTGAAAGAGTGGGTGAGGGACAGGAGAGGTAGTAGTGCTAGTGGGGAGACAGCGGGAGGGAGAGGGGATGGAGGAGAAAAGGTGGGCAGGGAAGGGAAGAGGAGGTGATAAACAGGGAGGTGAATAAACAGGGAGGTGAATAAACAGGGAGGTGAATAAAGAGGGGTGTGAAGAAACATTCGGAGGAAGAGGGTTGGTGAACTGATAGGCTAGCAGACCGACACTGGAGATCAGAAGGACGATAGCATTCACAAGAACACCACACCCCAACTCAGAAACGATAGCAATCAACATCATCAGCAGCACCACACCCCAATCCATCCCATCCGCGTCACCGTAGCCGGGTTGCTCTCACTCAAGTCGTTGCTGCTCAAAGCAAATCGTGCTGCTGCTGCCACCGCTGCCACCGCTGCCGCTTCCATTCGCATTTCCCACTCCCACTCCACTGCCGCTATGTCCTCTTGTTGTTTCCACGGTCAGCGAACCCATATTCACAGAGGCGTCTGATCCCCCCCTCGGACGCTCCACCATACCTCCCCCCTCCTCCTCCTCTCCCTCATACTCCTCGTCGCCCTCCGCCTCCTCTTCATCTCCCTCTTCTTCTCCCTCACCCACCCCCTCCTCCCTCTCCTCCCCGTCTCCTCCTTCCTCCTCCCCTTCCTCTCTCTCCCCTCCTTCTCCCACCTCGGTCGCTGCCTCTCCCTGACTGCTCCTCATGTTTCCGTCCCTGCTCCTGCCAAAGAGAGTATCAGTCCTGCTGCGCATCACAGGCCGGGGGTGGCACCCATTGGCACTCCACACGGCGTTGCTCATGCTGCTGCTGCCGTGCCGCTCCGCCCCTCGCCTCGCCCCTGCCTCTGCTTGTTCCTGTCCCAAGCTGGTAACTGAAGAGATGCCTGCCAGGCCGGATTCAGTGGTGCTCTCTGTCTTGGGCAGCGGCAATGGCTGCGGCAGCGGGAGTGGCTGCGGCTGCTGCTGCTGTGGCTGCGGCACATGGGAGCTGAAACGTGTGAGCAGCACAGCATGCACGTCTGCATCGCTGCCTGCCCCCATATGCACCTCCAGACGCGTGTCATACAGACCTGCAGGTACGCGAGGAGGGGAGAACGGGAGAGAAGAGATGAAAAGTGAGAATGAGAGGGGACTAAATGAGGGAGTGAGAGGGAAGGGTAAAGGGGAAGGGTTGAGAGCGGGGAATGAGGGAGTGAAGAGGGAGAATGAGGTGGGTGAAAAGTGGTATTTTGGTAAGTAAATGCAAGGAGAGAAAAGGTGATACGGAGTAACACTTTTCTATGTGACTCAATAATCATCTTCAGAAAGGAAGGCAGCAGCAACAGTAACAGCAGCACAATATGCGCCGAGACTAACCATTGGTGTGGAGCAGGCAGTCTAGCACGGAGCATCCATGGCATGTGGCAGCTGCGTGTTCCGTGGGTGTAACCACCCTCGCCGTGCCTTTTGAGTCGAGTCGACTCAAAAGTCACCTCAATGGAAGGCAACAGCAACACAGCACTCACCGTTGGTGTGGAGCAGGCGGTCGAGCACGGAGCACCCGTGGCACGTGTTTTCAGTCGAGACTTGAGATTCATCTCCAAAAGGGAAGGCACGGCAACAGCAACACAGCACTCACCGTTGGTGTGCAGTAGGCGGTCGAGCACGGAGCACCCGTGGCACGTGGCAGCTTCATGACCCATAGGCGTGACCACCCTGGCCGTGCCTGCTGCAACGCCCCTGAACTTGATGTTCATGTCTTGCAGCGTGAACAACGGCAGGGAAGTGGGCACCACTGGCGTCTGCACGTGGATCAACCCCGAGGTGGTCTGCAGGCTCAGTTGCTCTGGGAGGGCCGCGGTAGTGGCAAGCGAGGAGCCATTATCTCCTGCTGAAATAATGGCACCTGCTGCTACCTCCTCCTCCTCCTTGCCCCTGTCCTCCTCAACATCTCTCTCGCAACCCTCTGATTCCTCCCGCCCGTATTCCCCACACTCCTCTCTGTCACCTCCGCTGCCTGCAAGCACAAACCCCTCTGCTTCCCCACACTCCAGCGTGTACCCGTCCCCTTCCCCACTTTCCGCTTCCCCACCTTCCGCTTCCCCACCTTCTCCTCCTCCACTTTCCCCTCCCTCTCCTTCCACAGCAAGGTCCTGAGAGCAAGCCAACCGGTGGGTGGGTTGAACCATCGCAGAAAACCGTTGAAGCGGAGACTTTGAGGGCTCGAATGGAAGGTAGTAATAGCAGGAAGCTTCAGGGTCCTGGTGGCCAGTTGAGTCGTCGTCATGGTGGTAGTAATAGTGCTGGTGGTCGTCTGCCTCAGACGGCCGCATTCCATCATCAGCTGAGCTCTGCAGTAGTAACTCCTCCTCGTTCGATGCAGCAGCCGCCGTGATGCTAGCTGGCGCCGCGCGTGTGGGCGGCACGCCTACGGGCAGTAGTGACTCGCTGAAAAGAACGTCTACGGAATCTCTTGTTGCCGAGATATGGGGATGTTGGTATGAGTGCGGGTGCGAGTGCGAGTGCAAGTGCGAGTGCGATTGGGCGTACGGATGCGACTGAGGGTGTGCGTTCCAGAGGGCAGTTGAATCGGGAATAGGCGACTGCGGAAGTGTGAGCAGCGGCGGGAGGAGCAGGTGCGCGAGGAAAGAGGAGTCGTGGTCATAGTGAAGGGGAGGAGTAGTCGATGCGAGCTGCGTGTCATAGTCATGGCTCGTCATGGCAACATCCTCCAGTCTACGTTCCTCCACAGTAGCTTCTCCTGCTACGCCTCCCGCTTCCTCCTCCACTTCCGCTCCCGCTTCCGAACCTGTTCCCGTCCCCGCTCCCGCTCCCGCTCCCATGCGCGTGCGCTCCCGCTTGTTCCGCGGGCTCCTGGTTGGGGTTCCGGAAGAACTATTGCTCGGAGTGGTCGCGCGTGGCGTGAGAGAGTTCCTTCCTCGCTTTCCACTGGGAATGCGGGTGAAAGTTTTACTAGAGGATCTTTCCGGGGTTATCCTCATTGTCATTCCCAGCTTGGATGGGCCTGGTCCGGTTCCTGGTCCTGTTCCCGGGCGATTGTCACGTGCTCGGAGGAAGGGAGACGCGCCATTTCCGTTATTCCTGTAGCAAGGACGATTATGTTAAACCACTATCTCGCTTTCCTCTTCCTCTGCCGCCTCTCTTCTCGTTTTGAGAAGAGGTTTTCCAGCCTGAGGTGGGTGGTTGTAAGAGAAATTCACAACGAACGTACCCTAAAGGGGACGGAGATTGCAGGCGAACTAGGCGGCCAATGGCTGTGCTCCGCCCACTTTCTGTTCCTCTTTCCGCCGCTTGCGCTGGATTGCACGGCGGGATGAGCGGCGCTTCGCATGCAAACGCCTCTCCTTGCTCGTGCTTCCACAGTGCGGCCTGCTGAAATTCCGCCGCTGCCGCGGTGAAAACATCCGCGTCATCGTCGCGCAATGGCGGGAGCGCTTCGGCGGCGGCGGCGGCGGTTTCGTCGGTGGCGGCGACAGGGGGAACACGTTCAGCGTCCATATAACCATGGTCGAGAGGATAAGCGGGATGGAACGACGCCGCGAAGTCCATACCCGTGGGGAGGGACAGGGGCGACTCGGACGATCCGCCGCCATAGAAGCAAGCGACGGCTGCTGCGTTTAGGGAGTGCGCGTTGATGGATTGCACGAAAGCGGCGGCTGCGGAACCAGGCGACAGGCCCGTCGGCGACCAGAACGCGGACGATGGGTATGCGGGCGATGCGTACGCGGCGGGCGATGGATAAGCGGCGGGTGATGGGTACGCTGGCGATGGGTAAGCAGCGGGCGATGAATAATGGGGGGAAGGTAGAGGAGGTGGTGTCTGCGAGGTTGCGCCGTCCCACACGACCGCCGCCTCTAAGGCGCACCCGCCGTTTCTCGCGCGGCTTGCGCCGGCGTTCGCGGCGGGGGACAGGAAGAAATTGGAGGTGAGGGTTTCCAGTGGGAGCGCGATAGAGCCGACTGCTTGCGGCGTCAATGGCTGGAACGTGCTTGTATGCGACGTGTCTACATCGGGAGTTTCAAGGTCCAAGGGGTATGCTGGAAAGTCTACCTGCGTGAATGGGAGGTGGTCAAGGCGAGACGCGCTATCGCTGGTGGAGTGGTCCGTAGGGAGTCCAAAGGTGTTCGCTACGGTGAAGCCCGGAGCTGTTTCGATAGCGTAACTCGCGCGATGCGTCGATGACGGGGATGATAGGGACTGGACGCATTGAAGCGGACGGAGCGGCAGTGAGATTTGTTGATGGCTGGGAGGAGCAACGTTCGACGAAACGAGGATTGGTGTAACAGGTTGTGCTACTGCGGCCATTCTCCAGCCGGAGAAATGGCGGCAGTGGAAGAAAAACTTGCTCTACTACCACCGCCGCCACACAAACTGTGACAGCAATGGAAGAGAGAAGCTTCCTTAGGTCACGGCCACCCACCCCAGGACCTCAGCGGCAAACTTCGATAATTTCAATTGTGGCCGAATTTGGAAAGAGAGACGGTTGGAGGATGATGAGCTGGGAAAGGAGAATAGAGGGCGAATTGGCTGTGGCTGTGGTGAAGCAACAATGCTCGTTTGAAATTCCAAATTGGTTGGTTTGCGGTTGTAACCGAGACGCGGTTAGGCTCGAGGCGGTTCGCGCGCGGTTGCCTTTTCGGGCGACGACTCGCTGACGGATGAGGAGAGCCGTCGCACACTGTTGATGGGTGGCGTTGAGTGGCTCACGACGAGTCACGATCTATAGCGAGGATCGTAAGCGTATAAGCGAGGAGCGGGCTCTTGCGTGGACGTTTGCGCTCGTCACCCCCAGCCCAGCTTTGGCTGGCGAAATGCAGCTATGACAAGGCATCGCCCAGCCGATTGGCGAGAGATTTTCGTAGCTGGTTAGCTAAGTACTCTCGTTCCTTCGTTAGTGCCAAGTGTAACCAGAGGACATGCTACATATACGACTGCGTTTTGTACAGGGTTCTGTACTACTACAATCCTTCTCATGAAACGAACTACGAAAATGTAAACAAATAACTTCAGCATTTCTCTACAAGAATGTGCACGTCTTATGTTTACTTTGCAGTAATCAATACTTTTCCTCGAGCGGACAAGGATTCCAACTCCCAGTAATTCACAATCTGCAGACTGAATCACACATATCCTCACGGCCTCAATCACAACCCAACAAAAGCAACTCAGATATAGCAACACAAAGAGTGGACTAACCACAGCAGCTACTCATGAACCCTTGTGTTTTGTGTAGCAAAGTTGAGAGCCAGCCATGCCCAAAACCAGACTAGGACTGGTAAACTTCTTCACTGCTCTGTGAGCTGCAGCGCATCTAAGTAAAGCCCATCCTTCCACAACCCACTCTCCGTCTCCCACAGGCGCATATTCAGTGTGGGAGCCACTGTCGTCTCCCCTGGCGTTGGCCCCCTGATGGTCACACTGCCGGCAGGCAGGTTGGTCCAGTCAGGCAGCACAGCAATGGTGGTGGTGGAGATTTCCAGCTGCCTCTGCTCGCCTCCCCCTCCCCCAGCACTCCCCTCCTCCCTCACCTTGCTCCATAAAGGGCGCCCGTTCCACATGAACGAGCGTCTCCACTGCCCGCTTGCTGCCCATGCATACTCGGCGTCGCGGGAGACGCGCCATGTCACGTCGTACACCCCGCAGCGCAGGGGGAACGGCATTGCCACGTGGCCGTTGACATCAAACCAGCACACCGTGAGCAGATGCGGCACGTCGGGAAACACCGCGCCAGTGGTGTTGCCACGCGTCTCCATGTGCCAGTAGCGAGGGTCGCCCATCCACGTAACTCCGCACACCTTCGCTATACTCACGCTCACAGTGAATTTGGCGGTGCGGGGGTCCATGCGCGCGTGGAACACCCCGCCGTCCAGCAGCACTCCGCGGCACAGCGCGCGGCACCACGCGCGCGGGTGCGGGTCGCGGGAGACGAGCGGCAGCGCGGTAAAGCAAGCGTGGCGGCAGAGGTCCGGCAGCACGCGCTGCCACGCATCCGGGGACGCGGCAGCAGCGCGCCAAGCCGAGCAGACCGAGGCAGAGCGGGCGATGTCAGCGGGAGGCAGGAAGGAGAGGACGCACGCAAGACAGTCCTCAGGGAGGTCCGACACTCTCGTTGCGGCCCTCCTGAGCCTTCTCTCCATGGGGGACCCGACGTATTGTACCCTATTGTACCGCGGCCGCTGCCTAGATTCGTGATGCTAGCATGAAACTGTGGAGTTAGCATGCTATTGGTACCAACCATGTCGACCGTCCGACGCGTGTCTAACTTAGGATGCGGCTGCTGCCTTTTATGTGTGTCTGGGATTCTTTGCAGATAAGGCGGAATGGCTGGAATCACTACAATTTGCGGGCTCCCCAGTTCCGCGCTGGTCTGTTCCAAAAACCAGCGGGGTACCGTACCGGACCACACTGGAACTCTTTCCGGACCTGTGGTCCGCCGAAGCAGGTTTGGTCCGACGGACCAGGTCCGAACCAGGACTCGCACCAAAGTTTGGTGTGACGGGGCTGCCCGGAAGGGTGGCTTTGCGCGGTTCTGTACCACGATCATCGTACTACATCTATGATTCAAATGTAAACATAGTTCTCAGCGGAAATTATACGATTATGTATTATGTCAATTTTACTATATTCAATCTTTGCTCTCACACGTTAAAGGAGGCAATAATCCTGGTGGTTCAAAATCTAGGGCCTCAATCTCAACCCTAAACAAAAGCAACTTTATTATGGCAGCACAAAGAACGGACCAACTTCAGCAGCTACTCTCATGAACCCTAGAGATAAGCAGACTTGAGAGCCAGCCATTTACAAAACCGAACTGGTACACGGGTTCACTGCTCTGTGAGTTGCAGCGCATCCACATAGAGTCCATCCTTCCACCACCCACTCTCCGTCTCCCACAAGCGAAATTTCAGTGCGGGAGCAACTGCAGTCTCCCCTGCCGTAGCCCCCCTGATGGTCAAACGTCCTGCAGGCAGGGTGGTCCAGTCAGGCATCATGGCGATGGTGGCGGCGGAAATTTGAAACCGCTTCTGCTCGCCTTCCCCTTCCCCAGCACTCCCCTCCTCCCTCACGCTGCTCAATGCAGGGTTCCGCACCCACTTGAACGCGCAGTGCCTATCCACTCGCCTCCATGCCGCCCTCCTCCTCTCCCAAATGTCCTGCTGTTGCACTCTGCTGTGCTGGCCCGGATTCTCACCCTCAGGGCGCCGTGCCTGCACCCCGCGCTCCCGCCCTATCAACCGCCGCATCATCCCCGCCATGCGGTGAAAGGGGTTTCCTGCACCGCCACCGACACCGCTACTGTCACGGACTGCTCCATTCCTTGCTTCAGGCGTCCCTCTCAAATCTGCTGGCTGTTCTCCGTCATTCACGCCTCCCGTCCCTCCCAACTCCACCTCGCCATCGCCGCCGCCCTCCTCCTCCTCCTCCTCTTCCCGTTCGCCCCCGCCTTCACCAAACAGCCGCGCAAACCTCTGCCGCCCGCCTACGGCGTACTCGTCGGGCGTCGGGTCGCGGGAGACGCGCCACGCCACGTCGTACACCCCGCAGCGCAGGGGGAACGGCAGCACGACGGGAGGAACGGTCCTGACCTCGAACCAGCAGATCGTGAGCAGATGCGGCACGTCGGGAAACACCGCGCCTGTGGTGCTACCGCGCGTCTCCATGTACCAGTATTCACCACAAGGATCGTCCATCCCCACAATCTCGCACAACTTCCCGATACTCATGCTCACAGTGAGCTTGGCGGTGCGGGGGTCCATGCGCGCGTGGAACGCATCGCCGTCTAGAAGCACCCCGCGGCACAGCGCGTGGCACCACGCGCGCGGGTGCGCGTCGCGGGAGGCGAGCGGCAGCGCGGTGAAGCAGGCGTGGCGGCAGAGGTCGGGTAGCACGCGCTGCCACGCCACGGGGGACGCGGCAGCAGCGCGCCAAGCCGAGTTGACCGAGGCAGCGCGGGCGATGTCAGAGGGAGGCAGGAAGGAGAGGACGCACGCGAGACAGTAGTCATGCAGGTTCGACATGCCCGTCTCCCTCGCCGCCATTCTCCCAATGGGAGACTTTACGTATCGTGCCGCGGCTGCTGCCTAATTTCGTGTGCTACTAGCATGAGAGTGTGGGGCTGGGATGCCATCGGTACAAAAAATGTCGAGTATCCAATCATTGTATCAGTATGCGTGATCGGCTGGTAAGCGACACTCCTCTTGGCTGCTAGGAGGCCGCGTCACAAGCCCGTCACTCTCCTGGTAAACGACACTCCACTAGACCGCTAGGGGGGCTCTTGGCGGGGAGGGGAGGCGTGGAAGACTTGCTGGACACTCCACCGTATGTGGTTGGATGAAATCGCAACGAACCAGGCCAATCAGTTCGAAAACCAAACTCGGACTCGAGTACAAGTGACTTTTGCGGACCAGTGTTTTAGGTTTTGCGGACCGGCTCGACGGAACAGTCGCAACGAAGATAGCACAGCGACTATTTTTGGTGGAGACGGAATTTTCTTCGTTAGTGCCAAGTACTCTCGTTCCTTCGTTAGAGCCAAGTGTAACCAGAGGACATGCTACATATACGACTGCGTTTTGTACAGGGTTCTGTACTACTACAATCCTTCTCATGAGACAAAATACGAAAATGTAAACAAATAACTTCAGCATTTCTCTACAAGTATGTGCACGTCTTATGTTTACTTTGCAGTAATCAATACTTTTGCTCGAACGGACAAGGATTCCAACTCCCAGTAATTCACAATCTGCAGACTGAATCACACATATCCTCACGGCCTCAATCACAACCCAACAAAAGCAACTCAGATATAGCAACACAAAGAGTGGACTAACCACAGCAGCTACTCATGAACCCTTGTGTTTTGTGTAGCAAAGTTGAGAGCCAGCCATGCCCAAAACCAGACTAGGACTGGTAAACTTCTGTCAAATGTTGTAGCCTATAGTGAGGTTTGTCTTAGGGGGTACAAAACTTAGGGTTAGCTATATGTACCCCAACCAACATCAATGCATCATCCATTCCTCATTCTGACATGGTATCAGTTAGGTTAGGATCCTGTGGGATCCCGTTCCTCCGTTCTCCGTTCGTATCTCCCGAGCCTGATCCTACCTCTCGTTCGTACCGGTTCCGTTGTTACCGCGCCTAGTGCCGAGCCTAGCGCCCTTCCCCCCGTCGCCTAGCGCCCTTTCCCCCCCGTCACGTCGCGCCCTTTCCCCCCGTTGCGTCGCGCCCGTTCCCCCCCGTCGAGTCGCGCCCTTTCCCCCCGTCGCGTCGCGCTCTTTCCCCCCGTCGCGTCGCGCCCTTTCCCACCGTCGCGTCGCGCCCTTTCCCCCCGTCACGTCGCCCTGCCCCGTCCCGTCGCCCTGCCCCGTCCCGTCCCGTCGCCCCGTCCCGTCCCGTCGCCCCTGCCCCGTCCCGTCCCCGTCCCGTCCCGTCGCCCTGCCCCGTCCCGTCCCGTCCCGTCCCGTCCCGTCGCCCTGCCCCGTCCCGTCCCGTCGCCCCGTCCCGTCCCGTCGCCCCTGCCCCGTCCCGTCCCCGTCCCGTCCCCGTCCCGTCCCGTCGCCCTGCCCCGTCCCGTCCCGTCCCGTCCCGTCCCGTCGCCCTGCCCCTGCCCCGTCCCGTCGCCCCGTCCCGTCGCCCTGCTCCGTCGCGTCGCCCTTCCCCGTCCCGTCGCCCTGCCCTGCCGCAGTCACTGACTTTGCCTCTACCCGCCGCCTTGACTTCGCCACCGCTCTTGTGGCTGCTCCTCCTTCCAGTCCTCTGGCCGTCGGGGGTGTGTCTGCCCTTGGCTGTGACGCCCTAGAGGACAGGCAGTTTGAGCTAGAGTTCCTGGCCGCCGCTTCCCCTCATCTCTGTGCCATGCTCCTCGCCCCTGAGGGTGACCCCGACGCCCTTGACATTCCGACTCCTCGCACTTACGCTGAGGCAGTGTCAGGGCCTTGGGCCTCTCAGTGGAGAGCTGCCATGGACGCAGAGATGGCCTCCTACAGATCCACAGGCACCTACGTCGATGAGGTTCCCCCTCCGGGGGCGAACGTAGTCGACGGCATGTGGATCTACAGGGTGAAGCGGCCACCGGGATCTCCTCCGGTCTTCAAGGCACGCTACGTGGCTAGAGGTTTCAGTCAGCGCGAGGGAGTTGACTTCTTTCAGACCTTCGCGCCCACCCCGAAGATGACCACTCTTCGGGTGTTACTACACGTAGCAGCACAGAGAGACTACGAGTTACACTCTCTTGACTTCTCTACTGCTTTCCTTCAGGGCAGTCTTCACGAGGAGGTCTGGTTGCGTCGTCCCTCTGCCTTCACTGGCTCTTTCCCTCCTGGGACCCAGTGGAGGCTGAGGCGACCGGTTTACGGTCTTCGTCAGGCTCCTCGTGAGTGGCACGACACCCTGCGTTCTACCCTGTCTGACCTTGGGTTCCAGCCGTCTTCTGCTGACCCGTCGCTGTTCGTTCGTCGTGGCCCCACACCTTTCTTTGTTCTGGTCTACGTTGACGACCTTGTTTTCGCCACCCCTGACAGGGTTGCTTTGGCACACGTGAAGTCCGAACTGCAGAAGAGACACACCTGCACTGATCTTGGTGAGCTGCGCCACTACCTTGGCCTGCAGATCACCAGGGACAGAGCTGCTCGCACCATTACACTTTCACAGTCGCACATGGTGCAGCAGGTCCTTCAGCGGTTCGGGCTTCAGCACTCCACAGTACAGCGCACACCTCTTGCTGTTGACCACAGACTCACTGGACCCTTTCCTGACGAGCCGTTCGAGCCTAGTGGTCCCTACGCAGAGCTTGTGGGTTGCCTCATGTACCTGATGACTTGTACTCGCCCGGACCTCGCCTTCCCTCTCAGCGTTCTTGCGCGCTTTGTTGCGCCAGGGAGACACCGTCCTGTTCACTGGACAGCAGCTGTGAGGGTGGCGAAGTACCTAGCGACGACGTCAGGCGTGGGGCTAGTTCTTGGAGGGCAGCAGTCTGTCGTACTTACTGGTCACTGTGACTCCTCTTACGCTGACGACGCTGAGACTCACAGGTCTACTCAGGGGTACTGTTTCAGCCTGGGTTCTGGAGCTGTTTCCTGGCGGTCCACGCGCTCCTCTTCGGTCTCGACCTCTACAGCTGAGGCTGAGATCTACGCTGGTGCCATGGCGGCACAGGAGCTGCGTTGGTTGACCTTCTTGCTCACCGACCTTGGTGAGCGGCCGAGCTCTGCACCGACCTTGTTCACTGACAACAAGGCATCTATTCTCCTTTGTCGAGAGCCACGACTGGAGAGCAGAGTGAAGCACATTCACGTCAGGTACTTTCTTCTGCGAGAGTTGCAGAGGCGTGGACAGGCTCGCTTTGAGTTTGTGGAGTCCGAGGCCAACACTGCAGACATCTTCACCAAGGCGCTTCCGCCTTGTGACCACCAGAGGTGCTGTGTGCAGTTAGGCCTTGTTGACACTGGTTCTCGTGTTGCTTAGGCTTGAGTGTACTGTTTACTTTGCTTTCTATATACCTCTGTTACTTCTTGGACTGGCCTTGTGGCCACTGTTGTTTGTGCTCAGACTGTGTGGTGACGTTGTGATCCACCCTGAGCTTCGTTTCTTGGACTGGTCTTGTGACCGTACTCGTTTGGTTCTGCTAGACACCCCTCACTTAGGCTATGGGGGTGTGTCAAATGTTGTAGCCTATAGTGAGGTTTGTCTTAGGGGGTACAAAACTTAGGGTTAGCTATATGTACCCCAACCAACATCAATGCATCATCCATTCCTCATTCTGACAACTTCTTCACTGCTCTGTGAGCTGCAGCGCATCTAAGTAAAGCCCATCCTTCCACAACCCACTCTCCGTCTCCCACAGGCGCATATTCAGTGTGGGAGCCACTGTCGTCTCCCCTGGCGTTGGCCCCCTGATGGTCACACTGCCGGCAGGCAGGTTGGTCCAGTCAGGCAGCACAGCAATGGTGGTGGTGGAGATTTCCAGCTGCCTCTGCTCGCCTCCCCCTCCCCCAGCACTCCCCTCCTCCCTCACCTTGCTCCATAAAGGGCGCCCGTTCTACATGAACGAGCGTCTCCACTGCCCGCTTGCTGCCCATGCATACTCGGCGTCGCGGGAGACGCGCCATGACACGTCGTACACCCCGCAGCGCAGGGGGAACGGCATTGCCACGTGGCCGTTGACATCAAACCAGCACACCGTGAGCAGATGCGGCACGTCGGGAAACACCGCGCCAGTGGTGTTGCCACGCGTCTCCATGTGCCAGTAGCGAGGGTCGCCCATCCACGTAACTCCGCACACCTTCGCTATACTCACGCTCACAGTGAATTTGGCGGTGCGGGGGTCCATGCGCGCGTGGAACACCCCGCCGTCCAGCAGCACTCCGCGGCACAGCGCGCGGCACCACGCGCGCGGGTGCGGGTCGCGGGAGACGAGCGGCAGCGCGGTAAAGCAAGCGTGGCGGCAGAGGTCCGGCAGCACGCGCTGCCACGCATCCGGGGACGCGGCAGCAGCGCGCCAAGCCGAGCAGACCGAGGCAGAGCGGGCGATGTCAGCGGGAGGCAGGAAGGAGAGGACGCACGCAAGACAGTCCTCAGGGAGGTCCGACACTCTCGTTGCGGCCCTCCTGAGCCTTCTCTCCATGGGGGACCCGACGTATTGTACCCTATTGTACCGCGGCCGCTGCCTAGATTCGTGATGCTAGCATGAAACTGTGGAGTTAGCATGCTATTGGTACCAACCATGTCG